TTTTGGACTACTAATAATTATAGGAATTTTATATACAATTTTTTTGTTCTGGATAGATAAATATATGACAACTTTTTTGAGTATATATATCTTTTTCCAAAATTAATAGGTAAATCTCTAAAATTCATAAATATTTCATTTTAAATCAAAAAATAAAAAATTGGTACAAAAAATTCCTAAAAATATAATTCATATTATCCAAAATAAATTAGTTATGCATTCTTAGAAATCTAAATATTAGTCTATTTTAAACATAATCTATCTGTTTGAAGCGCTCATATTTTGGAATTCCTTTTTCCGAATTGTTCGAGCGAACTCGGATGGAGAAATGACCAAAACCAACTTTGTAGTTCATGAATTATTTCATTTCAAACTATTTACAACCCCGTAAATCCGGAATCGTCACTGGGTCCCGCACGCACGCGTGCGTTTGAACTTGACTTCAACGTCACGGACGAGGAAGAAGTCAGGTGCAGTTCTCCCGCCGCCGTCCAACCTCTCCATTATTACGGCCTCGACGCGATCGCCGAGGCCTTTGAGGAGTCGCAATTGCACCCACCGGAGGCCACCCCGGAGCAACCCGACTCCTCGGCCGACTACGGGAGGTTAGAGCGCCAGGCTGGTGCCTTCTGGGACCCCAACCGTCCCGGAGGGACTGCGCCACCACATTCTCGTTCGCCAACGTCATGGTGGCGCACTTTTGCCGAGGAGAGCCGCTTCTCCCGGAATACCTCATCCGAAGCGCCCGAGCAACGCTCCGTCCGATCTCATAACGCCGCGAGACCGTTAGCCACCTTAGCTGCACGACGCCGCCGTCCCCATGACGATGAGTTCGTGGGGATGACCGAATATGTTGCGAGTCTTTTCACGACACTCCTCGCGGGAGAAACGGAGTCGCCCTCCCGGCTCCGACTCCGGCGGGGAGCCATCACCCATCTTGTGAATGCTTTATGGCGGTACCCCGAGGACACGTCGAAAGCATCCACGAGGAAGAGACTACCCCAACAAATGACCTCGACGACGAGGTCGACAGGGATCAGGGGCCCCACCCCGCCTGCGGGTGGAGCAGCTGAAGGCCCGACACCAAGAGCTCGAGGAAGCGCGACTCCAGCTCGAGCAAGAACGCGCGGAGCTCGATCGAGAGATATTACACAACCAGCATTCCTACTCTTTGATATCATCAAAGCAGCATGGGGCGGTCCAAATGTACACAATAGATTGATAAATGATGTTATCACCCCGGTATTTGACAGAACTCCTCGAACCAACATGTCATCAAACATGTGGAGTGCATCAGCTAACCTGTGACCTTTCAGAAAGGCTTTAATTATCTTGGGGTACATGCCAATGTTTGGGGGACAATTCTTTTCCATCATATCCTTGTAATCCTTGATGCACATATGCAAAGCCCCAACAGAAATAAAATTGAAAATAAGTGCATTGTAGGTCACTGTAGTTGGACCATATCTCATATGTAACATATTCTCAAACTCCACGAAGTGCGTCTCGGTCTTCTTCCTTCGTCTTCCTCGGTTCCGGTGGTGCGCGGTGGTGGTCTTGTGTATCGGATCTGCTTCCTCTCGTCGGGATCTGCTTCTTCTTCGTCAGCCTCGTCTTCTTCTTCTCCGTTGTTCACTTGGCGTTTGGCACCACCACCCGAGGTGAAATCCACCCCCAATGGACCTACTCTTTGATTTGGATGATGCTAGGGTTTCGTTGTACTTGTACAAGGTGCTGTCTTTACGGCTTATCTGAGCTTTTGGTGCCGGTTGCTTTGTTATGTGATGTTGGATTTAGGGTTTGCATTCAACTGTTGTTACTGTTCTTACTTCATTATGGTTTCATGCTACTTTGCTACTGATATAATGGCAAATGACAGCTTTATTAGGATTTCATTTTCATATCTTTACTATTTTTGACATTGCTACTTTGCTAGCTTAGGATTCAAATGGTGTCTACTTTGTTTCTTAGGTAAATTTTTTCCAAAGAAATAATCCGAACATCAAGTAACCTTAAATTTGTTGTGTTTTCTCCATGAACAAGTTTAATTTCATCTTATTTTGCCCTTCTTTTAATCCTGAGGCATACTAATATTGTGGTAAGCACATATGAATAGCGGTACTCATTATTATTTTTATGCATTATAGGCCTCTTTTACACGTGCGAAGAAATGGGTTGAAGAACTTCAAGCACAAGGTAACATAACTACTTTGCACTTTTTACCTCAGTGCTCTACATATTGGAACATGCACTTGTATGGTGGGAGGTTGCTTCATAAGGAATGATATTGATATTTTGGATCTTATTATGGACCATCTGTCCTATTGAACAGCTGTATAAGAAATTGATTCAGCGAGTATGATGTGAATTTATTGGAAAAGGGTTAACTGTGGATGTATTAGTGTATTACGTCAATGATTGGGCTGATCTACAAGTTTTTTTAGTCTCATTTTCCTTTCCTTCGTTTTAATGCAGGAAACTTCGAATACAATAGTGGCTCTTGCTGGGAACAAGGCTGATTTGGTAGACCTTGAGGCAGGTGCCAGCAGAAGTATGTTAACATGCTTCTCAAGTTCTACTTTTAACACATTCATGGGCTACCGCATTTGTTTCTGTAGCTGCTGTCATCTTCATTCTTTAGTGATTTCTCATCTTAGAAGCTTTTGCATTCAATCAATGCATCTTTATCGGCCAACAATATGGTACAGAGTGGTAGGGAACAGAGGATGTTGAGTGTGTTCTGATTTTCTGATGCAGCCTCGATAGAATAGGAAGTTTTGGCCATCTTCTAAAAGGTAGTGGTAGGTATTGACCGCAGAAGGTACATAGAATTAGTGACAGGCTGGACCACTTCCAGTTCGATGTTTCATGTGGGCTGGGACCTTGGAGCATGAAAATGTTGGGGCATGGTACCAGCGATGTCTTTTTGTGCTTATGTCATCTTGTTCGATTGTGATGGTGTCTATTGAACCGAAATACATTAGGTAACATGATGATCCTATGCTGCAGGAAGCAAAGGCATATGCTCAAGAGAATGGTCTCTTCTTCATGGAAACTTCTGCTAAAACAGCTATCAATGTGAACGATGCGTTTTACGAGATTGGTGAGTACTAGCATTTAAACACACAGATAGGGTGGTCATTGGGCTGTAAGCTAGATATGTTCCTCTACATTGGCAGAATTTTACTGACTGCAGCGTGTTGTTGCTCAATCATTTACCCACTGTCACTACTGTTTCCTTATTTCAGCGAAGAAATTGCTTCAAGGACAGCAGGTTCAGAACCCACAAGGTGGAATGGTTCTTAACCAGAGACCACCTGAGAGGATGGTGAGCTCTTCTTCCTGCTGTGCGTAAAGCACAAGCTGGAGCATGGATTACATATCCCATGGCCTGAATTCCAAGAGTAGTATCTAAGCAATGAAGAATGTCTCGCCGAATCTTGTGAAGTAGTTGCCATCCCAGCTGCTTAAATCCTGTACTTTTTACTGCTTGTTCATTATGCGGTGCCTTGTAAATGTGAATACTATTCTAGCGTGTTACTTCAGAGATTCACGAGTGTACCTACAGTGCATGGTCGTGCTTGTCTTTCTAAGGCTAGAGAGAACAGAGAGCTAACAGATTCGTTCGATTCACTTGTTCCAATCGTGCAATCACAAAATTACAATCTTTCAGGCTTCATTCAGATGCAACTTTTTATCAGTTTGATCAGTGGAGTGAACCCAAACTATAATGTTCACGTTCAAATACCGCACCTGTGGCAGTGGAGCTGCAATACTGTTGATAAACGCACTACAGTATTGTGTAAATTTACTTACGATGCACAGAATCTGGATGGATATCTGGTTGTATTCTAAAAACTTGGTAAGCAGATATGCACAAAGGTTGCATCACAACCTTATATTACTTTTCTATTTTTTTTCCCTTAAGATTGCATCACTCTGGATAATTTGATGTTGAAAACTATGGTAAGCACGGCCAATATGTTGTATGCTGTTCACAACTTAAAACTTTTCCTCAGCAGAAAATAAGTGATGTGAATTAAAAGGTACCGCAGGTATCAACTAGTAACTTGCTCATGTTGCATATTTTGTAAGTCTGTCCGCCACAACCAGAATAACATCTTCTCCTTGTGATTTTGGCAGACATTCAATAAAATCCATTGTAATGTGCTGCCATGCTTAAGTTTGGCACAGGTAGAGGGATCCAAAAGACCTGGAATGTCCGTATGTTCCACTTTAGAAATTTGACATTGGGCACTCATTAATCCAGGTAGCGTTATGCTTCATGTTAGGCCAATGAAAGATCTTTGATCCTTTGACGGGTAGCTCTTTACGAGAAAGTGATCACCAATTGCAGACCCATGAAGGTACTAATAAAAGATCTGAAGTCTGAGGGATTCAGAAGCTCCCACTTATAATCTGCCCTTATTTATATCTGAGAACACAAGCCAGCAGTGTATACATTTCTGACATTTGGTATCATGGGCATAACCAGAGAGAATGTCAGCAGTCCAATCGGGGGAAGCTGTAGTAACCTGTAAGCAAGCTAGAAGAGGGGTGGTTTCCTAGACAAAGCATCAGCAACCAGATTCTATTTGGTATCATGTACGCGACGAAGAATGCCGCCAAATATTGTACAGTAGCTGCAAACGCTGCTGCTATAACCTTGTGCACTTTACTGTTTGTTCATTGCCGCGCTTCTTGTAAATATGAATACTCGTGTGTTACTGCCATGACCATGCTTATGTTTCTCTAGCGTAAAACAGGCTCTAGGCAGATTCGTTGTTCGTTTGATTCACTTATTTTTGTCGCAGTGGCAAATTTATGTTTTCAACTTTTGATCTCAGAATTCTGCAACTTCTGCAGTAGAGCTGCAGTGATGTTGATACGCCACGCAAGCTCAATGTTGCGTAAATTCAGCTTGAAGTATGGATGAAGAGATCAATTTGGATGCTGAATTGCTGATAGATTGGATTCTAAAAACTTTGGATGCTGACAGATTGGATTCTAAAACTTTCTAGGTGGTTGGACTTTAAAAACATGCTGACACATGTATGCAGAGATACGCATCACAGCCTTATTCTTCTTGTCTTATTTCTGTAGACTGCACGCGCCTTTGTGAACAGACCCGTCGAACGGAGCTATGTGATGTTGAAAACTTTGGAAACCAGCGGCCATAATCTTTCCTTAGCAGAAAGTAAGTAGTAATGCCATAAACTAGGAAGTTGCAGATATTGCCAATTTAGCTCAAAACAGGTAATTTCAGAAAGGTCGAAAATATGTGGTTCACTTGAAAACCAAAAAGAAGAACAGAATCATAAAGTGCAGACTGAAAAGTGGAGCACTCTTTTGCTGAGGAGCTAACCCCAGAGGTTACTAGCAGGGCAAAACAACACCAACTACTTCCACATGCAACAAACTGAAGTGTTGTTTTGGGAAATCACGGATACCAAGTGAGCATACTGAATTAATTCGGAACATTTTTAAGGCAAGTAACCACTGTTTCGCAGAGAAGTGAGAATAGACTGGCTTGACATATGGAAGAACTAACAGGCATGGTGTTAGCGGCCAAAATTGGCAAGCACCGTGTGATTTCCAAAACGACTGCAGGTTTGTGTAACATTGTCCAATCACAGAGTAGACTTCACCATCGCTTAAATCTAGTCGAGGCCATTGAAATTTATATATGAAACGTTTAATTTGAAGTGTAGATGAAGGAGTTGTGTCCATTCGAAGATCCATCGACACCCGTGGAAAGCAGCTAATTAAGCCGATTTCCTAAACCCCGCTAATATAATGCGGTTCTGTCATCCTAATCCGAGTTAGAAGCTAGATTTTTACACGGAATTGATACACACCCAATTTCGGTCGGTAAATCACCAGCTATTGCGGTTTCAATTTGGCTCCAGTAGCCATGCAAGCTAACTGTAGTGAAAATTCACCTTCAAGTTTGAATGAACAGGAGATCAATCTGGATTCATAACTGGTTGGATCCTAAAAGATTTGTATGCATAATAATGGGGGCACCACAGCCTTATCTTTATTATGTCTTCTTATTTCTGAAGATTGCGTGCACCTTTGCGAATAGACCCATTGCTCGGAGCTATCTGACGTTGAAAACTATGGCTCCCAGCAAACCAAAATATCGTATGCTATTCATCACCAACATAAAAGTAAAACCTTCGTCAACAGAACATAATAGTGCGACTCATGTGAAAGAACGACAGGCATCAACAAGGCAGTTGCTCTTGTTGCTGATTTAATACAACATAGGGAAGTTCAGAAAGCTCCAAAATATATGTTGCTTACTCGAAAAAGAAAAGAACAGGATCATAAGTGCAGACTGGTAAGTGAAGAACTCTTTTGCTGATGCACCAACACCAAAGGTTACCATACAATGGGGAAACAACACCAGTGTATTTATGACGAAAACATATCATTTTCCCCTGCGTCAATTATCGTCAGGGGAATGGAAACCATATTATTATTATTCTGAACGGAGAACTCAGTACGTGCCGTTTTCTTTACTGCTATCTATAACTGTCTCACTCTTCACTGGATGTAATCATCGTTGTAGGTGTCGCTGATCACCGACACGAACCGCTCGAGCCACGGGAGCTGGTGGAGGTCCTTCATGGTGTCAACGATGTACGAGTCGGCGCAGCGGGGCGGCGACCGGCAGGGGTTGGGGTTGTGATTGTGGTTGTCTCCCAGGCTAAACCCCCCCGCGAGGAACCTCTGGATGAGCGCCAGCTGCGCCCTTTCCTGCTCTGAGTACCCCTCCACGGCGGTCGGCATGCAGTCGAACGTGTCCCATGCCCAGATCTCGGATGCTGCTTGGGTGGATCGCTCAGCGGAGGAGGCCTCCATGGCTTCATCGTCCCAGAACACGCATTGGCATGTTTGTACACCACTAGCATAGTCAGCACCGCAGGAGTAGCAGAACTCGTGGCCACACCTGCACAAGTGATGTTTAGCACCAAGATAAAAAGAGTAGCACATGTATTTATGAATGAACAATCTTTTTAGTACATGCATTTTAATGGCAATGGCCATCTGTGTGACCACAACACAAAACATGTTTCACTACTTAAAAGCAGCACAGTGGCGAATCGATATGCCCAATACAAACAGAATACTAGAGTAGAGAAACATGATCATGGTCCCATACTCAATCAGCTACAAGTTTTGTTTCTTCTTATATCATGCAAAAATTTGCAGTGTCGTTTTTTGGGAACCAGAATATGGAAGACCAACTGCACAATCCGAACTGAATATGAAGATTTTCATGTAAGCAACCATACCTTTCACAGAAATGTGAGAACATGGCGGACTGACACAATATAACTACCTAACACATTTGCTTTTATTTTGGACAACTATCAATATTGAATTAGTAGTCAAAGAAAATCAGGAATGTTTACTGTACTTTTAAAACATAATAATCTTTTCTGGGTCACTAATCACTAGCATTTGGATTACCTCAGTTCAGGAGTTGGATACTTTTGACAAAACTAAGGAGACAAGGAAATAAGTACTGGTTATTCATTAAGACAACAGGGCAGCTTAGTTCTATGCATAAACTGTCTAGTTTTCCTCAGATAGTATATCATACATGCATCAGAGGATGTAGATATACACAGAGCATACCAGCAAGTCATATGGAAGCAGCCCTGTGTTAGTTCAATCATATGTCGACATCTTTGACAACGCCTCCACCGATTGTTCTGTGCAAGCCGATGCAAAGATAGGTCTCCAGCATCTCTTTCCTCAGCAGGCAAGCTCTGGTACTCATCACAGCCCATCATGATGTGCCATGGCACTCCACAGTTGATGCATATATCTCTATGGCATTCTGGGCACTCGATACAACTGAGATCTGACTGGCTTGATGAACTTGCCCTAGAGAAGTGCTGACTAAGGTCTAACAGCACTGAACAATTTGGAAAGGGACAATAAAATCTTTCCATTTCTGAGGTGCCAGCTTCTGCAAATGCTCTCTCCAGGGAATCATAGCTGCTAACTGGAAGGAATGACTTACACTCACTAGCGGAAATAATATATTTACACCTTAATTGTGGACACCTTATAGGCAGCTTTGAGGTCAGCAGCTTCTCTTCAACATACCCAGTCAGGCAATTATAGCAATATGTGTGAGAACAACCTGCCTTGATCATCTGAGAACCTAGTTTCTCCTCACGGCAAATCGGGCAGGTACAAACCTCATAGGGAGATAGATATCTGATGCCTATAGCTTCTTTGGCTAACTGCAAGGGCCTCTCGAGTTCAAAGCTCGGAAGCAATATCAAATCAAAGTCTTCCAACTTATCCACCAGTTCAAGAATCCTGTGTCCT